CTTTATGAAAAGCTTAAGCCATAAATAGCAAGATACCTTAAGCTGAAGTAAATGGCATTGTATTGACAAAAGGGTTTTGTACTTTAACTCATGTCGAACTATGCTTTATAACAGTGTTATAATCAGAACAAATGTCCATCACTTTAGTTTAAGGTCCCTTATATAAAAGCAATGTCATTTACCTCATAGAACATCTTATATCATCTTACGCTATCTAGCATAAGCTGGTCATAAATACTCAAATATTGCTTCATAAAAGTTGCTCAGTGCTTATGCATGTGTTATGTAGTCCCTATGTAGGTAGCCTTCAAATAAAAGTGCTACCCAAAGCCACATAACATAAGGGATGTAGTTATAATAAACGTTAATATCGAGAGTCATAAGAAAAATCAAGTTATGTCGAATCTTAAGGTAGACAACATGACAAGAAATAAGTATAAATAGACAATTACAGTATTATATGTCATATCGTGTTCCCACAATTCTTCAAACCTTTTGCTGTTCGTAATATTTTAATATTTCATAGTTATGTTTAAATATGTTTACGTTATTATTGTCAAATAACAGTTAGTTCCAACGCCACAATCTGATTGGTTGAGAAGTTCTACCACATATTTCTTCACAATAGCTCAATTCAGCTGAGCACTGGTTGCTAAGTAACAACTCACTTTACTCTACAGCTAAGTTACTTTTATCACATACAAAAACAGAAATGGACACACTAGACAACCATATGATAAAACCTGACCTTCAGCCTGTTTGGTCAGGTTCTGAAGCAGAGCGTAACCACAGACCTGCATCAAAATCCAGACTTCTTGTTGCCACCAAGTGAGCTTTTCTGCTGTGAGGGAGCAAACTGGAATTAGCCAGAAACAAACAACGTGCTTTTTAGCAAACAAGATGAGCTGTGGAATGATACAAAACAACATTCAGGTTAATCAGGCAAACATTGGAAAAGCTGAGCTGAACTTCATATTGTGAGAGTTCTGTAACCCTGTCTGCAAAAGGGAACTACTTTTTGTGGCAGAGGGAAAAAAGCACAGTTGATACAATGTTCAGGGCTTCTTTGCTTTACTTTTTTCTTTATTTTTCTGCAATAAAGAAAAAATAAAACACGTGAGGTTGTGCATTACCATGAATAACATCACGGCTGTGATGATCAGCTGTACTCGTCTTCAGCTCATGCCTGCGACCGAATCACAGCTGTCATGTTATTCACGATAAGATGCTCCCTCTTATATTCTTACTTAAATATAGAAAAACAAAAATAAAATCACAAGTGATCAAAAATCAGCATATGTATTGGCACTTTTTGTTTGTGCTGGGCTCTTGGCCTGGTGTGTGCTGGAGAGTGATGAGTGTATGTGTGTTATGGTGACGTTGTGCTGTTAGTATTTCCACTTCACTAAGTCTTGACTAAAGAACGAGTGGGCAGAGTTAGATGGAAAAATGTTATTTTGCTACGCTATTTACCGGAGATGGAGGGAGTGGACAAGTCCCCCGGGTGGGGCAAAGGTGTTGCAATCACCAACTGACTGCTTGATGTTGTTTTTTTTAGTTGGCTCTTTCTGTGGCATTTTTAGGAATTCCCCATGACACAGATTGGATCAGAGACTCTGGAAAAGCTTCTGTAGGAGCAACAGCAGCTATGATGAAACATGACTAACCAGCTGGGTTTGGCCTACAGGAGTCCAACTCACAGAGCCTTATATAAAAACAAATGCAGTTTTGGTCACTTTTCATTGCTGAAGAATGATGACACCAATCCAGTATTTACTGAAAGTCAAAATGACGCAACATTTGGCGTGTCCATTTGCCTTAATCCCAGCTTAAACTGTGTCCAGCATCGATTTTACGAGTTTCTACAGAAACTAGGCATCCACCTTATTCCAGCTTTCTTTCTGAGCAACAGAGGGTTTGTTGAGATGCTTTTCAGATGTCCCTAAAGACGTCCAATTGGGTCAAAAAAGAATTTCTCAGACAGCTGAAATATGTCGCTGTTGTTGGAACAAAACCTCATATTTCCAAAATTATAACTTTACAAGAGAGAGGAAAACATACTTTACTTTTAATGTAAGTCAATAGAACCAGACTTTTTAAACAGTAATTTTGGGCCTTTTCCCGTTTCTTTTGGTCCATTCATCATGAAATTTACGCACAGTGTAAAGGGCAACAGGCATTTTCAGATTATGCCAATAACTGAAAAACGACAAAAATGGAGATACAAGGTTTTGTTCTGACAACAGCGTTATCATGCTATATAATGTGTTCCTTTAAATCATTATTTTAAATAATGCGTGTGGGCTCTTTCTCCAGGCCCCTAGGTATGTGTAATGAAAGTAATCCAATAAAATATTTTTCCCTTAACTCTGTTATCAGATTAACTAGAACACTGTTGGCTCTCTGTGTGTGAAACATGATTCTCTGTTGAGCTGCTAGCGAGCAGTGAGGACTGAAAGGGGGGAGAGGGGAGAATTGCCTGCTGTGAAAACAATTTGAGCCAAGGTAAAATGGAAAGCTGCAGCTTTTTTCTTATCTGCCCTCAGTAAAAAATAGCGTGTCATAAATAACACAATAGAAAAAACGTTTTATAAATATTGACTTGCTTGCTTGGCTATGAAGATGAAAATCCAGTTTGCTTACAGTTTCATAATTCATACACATATCCAAAATAGAATCCATAAACAATCCTGAAGGAAGAAATGAAGGGCTTTCAAAACAGATTCAATAATGGATTCTTAAATAGTAATCTGAGATTTTTCACAAATTCTTTTCTTTTAGATAAATGTAGAAATAGTGTTTGGTAAAAGACTCAGAGCTTTGTATTCTACTTTATTTGCTCCATTTCAATATAAAAGTCACACCCTCTTCTGCTTTTACTGTCATTCAGGTTTGTCATGTCAGGCTTACTTTTGATTGTACCAAATGAAAACTGGCCTTATGCTGATAATGTGTCGAGGCCTAAATACATCAGATTATTTATCAGTGAAATAACTGGTACAGATTTTTCTTTCATGTCTTTTTGCTTATTTGTTCGTACAGCTGAAGCGGAGGTGAGCGTCAGTTTGATCAGATTAGGATGTTGTGAGTGACTACACTGGGACTGACAAAGACTGCACTGGTTTGTGATTGTAAAGGACAAGTTCACAAAATCAGAAACTTCATTTCTGTCATCACTGCATTTTTAAACAGTGTCAATACTGGAACATTTCTGAATAGCTGGTTTGCTTTGCTAGGTAACAATGCATATTTTAAATTCTCTCGCTGCTCTATTACAGTTAAAAACAGCCTGATGGACACACCCAAGTGCATTGTTTGCACAGGGTGTTATATATTCAGGACTGTGCATAGTTGTAGGTAAAAGGTTTATCTGGGCATTATACATTTGTTTGCTCAAAAAACATTAGACCAAATGGCATTAATACAGTGTCAAATTTAATACATTAATACATATATTCATATTTGTGTAATACTTTTCATATGGCACTGTATGTATACATGCACTACCTTTCAAATGTTTTCAATAACATAAAGTAATAAAAAATAATGAATATTGTGTTGTAGAATCATGTATGATCATCATATTTTTCTAATATTCTATAGATTTCAAACAATTTGTAGGAAGCTGTAAAAATGAATAAATTACGAATGATGAACAGAGCTGTAGATGATCCTGCTGAAAAAGCTCAAGAAAGAACTTTAAAAATAAGTACCCATGTTAAATAACTTAAAATGAATATCCATGTTATTAAAATAACATCCATTTATTTATTAAAAAAGGCAGCAAGCACATCACGCAAATTCTCTGATTTCAAATTACTATAAATACATCATTAGAGTTTATTATTTAATAATATTTACCTTTTTTATTGCCATATGTTCTTGTTGTTCACAAGATAATTTAAGTTATGAGATCTAATTTCAGTCTACGCTTTATAGGTTATTAATTAACAACATTTGTTATATGGCAACTGATACACAGCAATATGCAAAAGTTTAGGCACCCTGGTCAAATGATATGTTTTCTTTGATTTTTGAGTGAACATATGTTAACATGTCCCCTTCCGAGAATGTCTACACATTTTAATGCACAGTTACACTTTTTGCTGAATTTAAATTTTCTATTTTTTTTAAAGATGTTAAACTCAGCAAATAAATAGAAATTGTGCACTAAAATTAGCAGAAAAATTAAGTACTCAAATTTGAAAATGTAATTTGACCAGGTGTTCAAACTTTTGCAAACACCTGTTTATGTATTTTAAAGTCGTTCTAGTTTATTAAAATATTCTGGTATCTTTGAAAGACAGTGCGTGGTGTATTGATATTTATGGCATTCACCTTTTTAAAATCAAAGAAAACTTAATTAACTGTCAAAATAATCAGTACATTTCTTGATTACTGATACAGTGGACACTGATGGCCTTAATTTAGCGTGCAGGATGCTGTCTGTTTTCTCTAACAGCAACAGCACTTGCCCAAGCTTCTGTAATGCTAAGGAAAAAAGCTGTGTTGGAGATGGCAGTGCATGGGGACGAAAGGAGCCAGAAAGCAGAGAGAAATGTCATGAAGAGGAAGAACTGGAGTATGTTTTCTGAAAGCCTGTGTTCATTCATTCTCTGAATCAATAGAGTGGCTGATTAGACAGTGGAGAACGGCTTAGTGAGGCAATCACTCAACTGGTGTTTGAAGATATCAGAGCACAAAAAGAGAGCGAAAGAAAAAAGAATTTGAGAGTGAAAAAAGGGGGAGAGAGATAAGGGAGGACTGAGAGAGCGAGATAAAGAGGAGCGAGGGAGCTTGGGGGGAGAAGGATGAAGGCAGACAGCTGTGTTTTTGTGCTGCTATTTTGAGCGGCTAGCCGCTGCTCCACTCCCCTGGTTTGGCCCGGCCTATTTCTGTCCTGGGCTGGCCCTGTTGCTATTCCTGGCACCTGGGAGCGAGGGAGCGCGAGAGAGAGAGAGAGAGGGAGGGAGGGAGGGAGGGAGGGAGGGTGAGAGAGAGAGAGGGAGAGAGAAGTGGCGTACATTCACATGGTAATGATGGGGCGAGAGAGAGAGGCAGAGGCAGAGAGAGAGAGTGCTGCATGAGAGCTGTATGAGTGGATACAGTGCTGTGCTGTATGAGTGAGAGTGCAGGAGGCATTGCTTCAGCTGGGGCTCAGGAAAAGAGAAAGATAGCTCTGAAATAGCAGTTTTTACCTCTTTTTTCACCCACTTGATGTGTGGAACTGGCCGGCTAAAAGGCACCCACTAAAACGGTTGACATTTTTTGGTGGCTGAAACACTCTGTAGTGGAAGGACCGAGGCAAGAGGAGAAGGGAGCGCGAGCGAAAGGGTGAAAGAGAGCGAGGAAGAGGACTGGGTCGCCTTGAGAATGCTGCAGACCATCTATGAGAGCGACACCCGCATCCCCGCTGAGTGGCTGAGGACCATACTGGACACTCATAGCATCTCCAGCACTGTGATTGGCTCAGGTACCTGTGTGAATAAGCCTAGATCAGGAGAGTCCAGCGCAGTTTGGTGCTGAAACATACTCGATTCAACTCAGGAGTTCACCAGACTGTGCTGGACTAAGCTGGAGTCCAGCTATTTGCTTCCGTTTCTCACCCTCTGCTTTGGTCTCCTTGTATCTGTTTGACAAATTGACAAAAGCTTAGAATTGAAAATCACTTGTCATACAGTCGTATGCAAACGTTTGAGCGTCCTCAGTCAGATTGCATGTTCTGTTGATTTTCTACATTTTCTCTACGCAGGAACAAACTTAAAAATGTAATTTTTATATGCAGATACTATACTGGTAAAAAAAAACAAAATATGTGCCTTAACTTTTGCACAGGCCACAGTTTATGTTTTATTTTTGTTGTCCAAAATGTGAATTTGAGCAAGTAGACAGTAATTGTGCATTAAAATGTGCAGAATCGTGTTCTCTGTAGAGGATGTTTTATCTTATTTACACTTAGAAAATCAGCAACACATGACATTTGACCAGGGGTGCTCAAACTTTTGCATACAACTGTATTAATACTTATTCTTAATACTTAACATTACTGAGTCACATATGCCAATTAATGCTATAAATATACACAGAATAATAGCTAAGCTCACAGTTTTGCACAATATTCTATACTGTTCAAAAGTCAGAGACCACCATTTTTGACCACGCTTATGTCTTTAATTTCCAGTCATATCAGTCCAGTACAGGTTAGTCAAGAAAAACACAGAAAACATATATTTAACAGGAAATTAAATAGAAGCCTCAACAGCTTAACATACATTTCTCATAATTTACTGTGTCCACTCTTTGGCTTTATTAGCTTCCATTCTTTTCAGACTCACTTTCAAGTGTTCAAAGAAATCTGCAAGGATTTTTCCACACCTCCAAAGTTCAGTCTTAGAAGTTGGTTGCATTTTTTGCTTTTCACAGTCCACGCACATTCAGTGATATTGAGGTCTGGACTTTGGGGTGGTCAGTCCATTGTTCCGCTTCTTTGTTTGATGTGTCTGTCTCCTTTTCTCAGTGAGGTTCTTCTTGAACAGCTACACATCCTTTCAGACCCATAGCGCTGAGTCGTCTTCTCACAGTGGAAGGATGGATGTGGATGTTTCAGATCTGAAGCAGCTTGATTTTCTCCTCTCTCTCAAAGATGAAAGCTTTAAGTGCTGTTTATCTGATGGGGACAGTTTTGGTGGTCTACTAGATCTTTTTGAACTCTAGTTTCCTTTTGCAAATCTCCTAAGAAATATGGCCTGAAATGAATAGCTTGTGCATACCTGCCTGTTTTGACTGGTAATGAAATAAATGAAGGGCACTGTACTTGCAGAGTACTGTATGAATGTGACTGCAGTATTATTCACAGATGCTGTAAATAGGTTTCCCAGAATAAACAGAATAAGTAGCAGAATGAATAGAGTACACAGTACTGCATAGTCCAAATTATGGACACAGTGGTAGTATAGGAATAATTGCACTTAAGATAAGTTAACTGAACTATAATTATGCAATTACATTAAATTACCTGCCTTGAGATTTTCTAATATGAAGCATTCTTGAGGCGCCATGTTCTATTTTTTAATATGTTGTCTATTATTAGTTATTTGAAAGCTGTGAAGTTGAACAGCACTAGCATGTTAAAAACGTTTGTACATCTGAAGCTGAAGTCTACATTGTTGAAAACATTGAATGATTCCAAGCTTATAAGTGGACCTGATCGATGCAGCAACAGTATACGCTCATTTGCATATGCATAGTCATATGTATAAAAGCTTGAACACCCCTGGTCAATGTACATGTTTTGTTGAATTTATAAGTGAAAATAAGTTAAATGTGCAATTACACAATTAAGTTAACCCCCCAAAATGGCCACCAGCAGGCCCAAAGTTTTATTACACACTCCTATAACCTAAGAATAGGTCAGCTAGTTTGCATTGAAGTCCCTGTAGTTACTGAGTAATAAGACTTAGTATGTAATAAATGCGGGATTTTAAGGGGTTAACCTCGTTGTCTGTGGGAAACAGACTTAAATTGCAGATTTTAGTGCACAATTTCTATTTATTTGAAGAGTTAAGCATTTTGGGAAAAAATAAAACATAAATATTTTGCACACAGCACATTTTTTGTCATTTTTTCACCCTATGTGTAAATTTAGGAAATAATCAGTAATTGTGCATTAAATTGTGCAGAAGTATGTTCTCTGTAGAGGATGTGTTATGATGTTATTTCACTTAGAAAATTAACAAAAACCAGAACAAAACAAACACAACTGTAGGTCTGCAGTGCACAGGTATGCGCGTGTCTTTCCGTGGTTGATAGGAAGGATGTAGCAAGCATGTGTTTGCGTTGTGGTGACGTGGGCTTGTCGTCTGATGTATTGTCTCGGTGCATTTGTGGTTTAAGAACGTGCTTGTTTTGGTGTATTCCTTAACGCGGTTATTAGTAAGCTCATCTCCGTTCATTGTTATGGATTCTTTCATGTTGCGTATACTATGTGCTAATAGGAGGTCACATTTCTTCACTGGCTGCTTGTAAAAGCTGTCACATTTGAGAAAGGACGTCTCTGTGGTCCAAAGATTCCTAAAAACATATCGTCCCTTGCAGCAATATGCACCATACACAGCTCATTAGGCCAGTCAGAGCCAAATCAGCAGCCGTCTTTTGAGAGTTGTGTTAAGGGAACTGTGCTGTATATTCTGAACATGCAATTTATCAGAGCACATCTGACCCCACCTCAACATACTCAGCCCAAGGGCACCAATTTATCACATCACATATAGACCAATGCTGTTGCTGTTCTAGGATCAGATTTTAGATTACATACTGTGGCTAAAAATAAGTTACACGGACGAGGAGACACTCATTTTGGATCTGCATTTGGATGTGCTTAAAGCATCTGGGCTCAAATGCAAATAACTAAACTACTGTCACTTTTGTCGTGCTAATAACTCATTATTTTATATACAGTAATAAATTGGGCTGTGTAAACTATGTGCCAAAAGATGTTTTAGATATACGACATGTAAAAGATTTAAAAATGAAAGAAGAATTTCACTAATTCAAAGTTCCAGTGTAAACCAATGGTTGAGATGTAAACAAAGTCATTGGTTTGAGTGGTTTGGTGTGAAATGGTGCATTATAGAGAAATTTACTGACTCTTTTCTTTCCAAAGATTTCTTTGCAATGGTGGTGATAGTAACCAGGAGTCACAGTGAAAATATATTGCCATTTTATTTGCTATAACGAATGAGCAGAGAACCTACACGTGTTTTCTATGTATCTATGTATGTGTTGGTAATGGTTGATAGCGGTTATCTCCAATCTTTCATGAAACAATGTCTCAGGAATCAGGTAGCATATTAATAACTACTTTGCATAATAACTTGGGATGAGTCTGAATTTTCAAATATTCAAATAGTCACTAAAGTCATTTATTCTTATAAGAACCGTGAAATGTTTATACAGTCATATGTATAAACTAGAGGGTAGTGAAGAGGCTGCGTCTTACATTTTGGTCAAGGTTTCTTATCTGTTTAGTCCAAAAACGGAAACATTGAAAGACTACTGTCGCCGGCTAAAGGCAACCGCACACCAGATGAGAAACTCCGTGCTGCACTGGCAGAGTCTGTGATGTTGGGTAGCAGATAAGTACAAAGCACAAGTATAGCACATAGGAAGCGTTGTGGAAAAGCACCAATCAAGCTCAAACCCATATTTCATTCTGCTTGTATAAATTTAAAGAGATAAAACTTTCAACATTGCTCAGTACATTTATCAGGTGCCATCAGCTAATTAACTCTTCACAAACTTTTAACTTCCAGCCAAAAGTTATGAGGTGAAATACAATGTTGCTAGGCCAGGAGTCGGCAACATGGGGCCCCGGAGTAATTACACAGTTTTACTGCCCCCCTGTGGCTCCACAGCAGAATTAGATTTTTATGCTTTAGCAATAAATACTATTAAAGGCTGGAACTAACGTGTAACCGCTAATTCACCAACCTTTAACCCTGAAGATCGACGAGAACATTGCTGGTCACATAGCAACTCAGACAACAATCTTGCCTAGCTAGTAGCTAACAAAATGGCAAAGAAGAGAAAGACTCAAAATGAACATTGATGATTTAGAGACGAATGAATGGACTCATTTGCATGTATATGCACTCCAGCTGGATTCAGGATATGTTTAATCTGCAACGATAAACTGTCAAACACTAAAAAGTCGAACATTGAGAGACGTTTTACAAGAAACCGTTCTAGTGGAAAAGTTTCCTGCTGCAGATGCGAGAAAAGTGGCTATAAAGCTAGCTGAGCTAAAGGTTAAAGCAGATCAAAGTAAGCCTGTGTTTTTGTTCATTAGTATATTATTATATTTTTAGCTTGTATTAACACATTAGCTTTACAACTTTACAGCCAAGCTGTTAAAATGTTAAACCAATAAAAGTTGGTTTCCCAAAGTGGTTTGATTTTTGTTGAAATGGGACAAAATGGCATTTGGGATGCCGACCCCTGCACTAGGCTAATTACGCTAGCTAAGGTGAAAATTAAAATTTGTTTGTTTTTCTTAAGCACTTCACATTGTTTGCCTTTGTTAGTGTACATTTCAAGTCTCATTTCATCTACTGTGGATTTGTGATCTAGGTCTGGGTTTAATATAGTACAGTTACAGTGAAATGTTGGTCACAGTCTCCTATGTATCTGGCGTATTATAGCCTGTTGGGGTATTATTCTAATTTGCACATCACTTGTCGTAACTTTCTGTGAGGTAGCTTTTAGAGTCATTTTGCATCTCGCTGCTGTCGAAACAAAACCTCATATCTCCATTTTTGTTGTTTTTCAGTTTTTGACATAATTTGAAAATGTCTGTTGCCCTTTACACTGTGTGTAAATTTAATGGTGAATGGACAAACAGAAATGGCCCAAAATGACTTGGAAATATGTTTGGTTCCATTGACTTACATTAAAAGTAAAGTATGTTTTTTTCAT